AGGGCTGCAATTTGAGCTCATGTGGGAACTGGATATAAAAGGAAACAGTTCATGCCCAGGTCCCACCTTCCAAACTTCTCAGTGCATGCAGTTTGCTAGTTTCAGCCAGCGTAGCTGTTCTGATCACTTAACAGTATACATGCTCAAAACTCACAGTAAGAAAGATTTAAAATGTTAAGATAGCAATGTTAAGATAGCATGTGCTTAATTTTTGTGCACGTGAGCAGTACCCCTTATATAGCAATATTTCTCAAAAAATAAAAATTCTACACACCACAACCAAGCCTGATCATTATTGTTCCAATAGCAAAAGCATTATGCTTTAAAAAAAGAAAAAGAAAAGATCGGCAAAACTTGCTAAAAGGAATATGTTGTGCAAAGGTTGTTTTTTTCACTGATGTGCAGGCATGCACAAAGATGTGGCATTATTCCACAGGGCAATCCTACTCAGAAGAATGTCCCCGTGAGTTCAAGTAGGCTTACTCCTGAGGAAGTAGAGTATTTCAGCCTCCGTTTTTCTCTGCACCTTGAATCAGTCGGGAAGATTGCGGTGCGCCTCCGTTTAAATAATAACGGACACGTGTCGGTCAGTTTCGGTGGACTCAAACCCGCTTCCTGAGATGCATTAAGCTGTTGACTTTAACTGCAGCTGCAGACCAATCCCATGGCCCTCCTGGATTTGCAAAAAAACCACAAGACACCCAAGACAGGCCATTCGGTACGTATGTGCACCACGCCCCTTTCCTCGTCAACAAAGTCCTTCCCAAAGTTTCTGGAAGCTCTTACCCGTGGGAACGTACATCGCCTGGCCATACCTACCATGGTAGACCCCGAGGACGTCGCTACGAACACTTTGATCACCATTCCGACGACACCCAGAGGGAACCCGCAGCAAGGGGAAGCAGCAGCAGCAGCGCGCCTTCCGTGTCAGCTCAGGAGCAAGCGCAGCGCGCGGCCCTCTTTGCCCGGAGCGGAGCGAGAATCCCCGAAGAATCCCTGCGACTCCTGGGCTCCGCTGGTTCCCTGCCGTTCCCACCCCACCCCCACCCCGCTCCGCATCAGCTCATTGGCTCCAAGGCATTTGGGGAGCAGACGGGCCAGGGCACGATTGGCTGGTAAAAGTATCCATTGCAGGAGGACTTGCACCTGCCCCCCGCGCTCGTCGCTTTAGATTGACCGGGGGACAGCCCTTAAAAGGCCAGGGACAGCGGTGCACCAATCCAGGCAGGGGAGGGCAAGGCGGCGAGGGAGGGCCGGCAGAGAGGAGAGAGACAGCTATGTGGGGCAGCTTTTTTCTCAATCGGCTTCTTCTGCGTCCAAGGGCCTGCATATACCCTCTTGTCAAAGCAAGGCACGTTAGGTTCTGTTAAAACTTTCGGGTTCCCCTCCCCCTTTTCCCAAAAGAGGGAAGTAGAAGCTATGAAAGAGCTGCCGCGGAAACAAGAATTCAGGTCCCAACCTTGCTCATTTTTAAGGCGGGTTGCAAACCAGGATCCAAAAGTGAGAACAACACTAAAATGAATGAGGTAGAAGAGCCATTGAAATGCGCTGGCTTCTCCTCCATGGCCATTGGTCCAGTGATCGGTTGTTTATTACACACAGTGGATTTTAGGACTGCTCCCATAAATGGCCAGGCCAAAAAAAAAGTATTGGCATACATTGAGATGAGGTGGATCCTGCACCCTGACCTGCAAAACTCTGGATGAAAAGCATCAGAATATAAAACTAATTTTATATTGGTTTTACATTGGATCCTCCAAAATCTCAAGTTTTAGTACCTTGTATAGCTCTTACTCGGGACGCGGGTGGCGCTGTGGGTAAAACCTCAGCGCCTAGGGCTTGCTGATCGAAATGTCGGTGGTTCGAATCCCCGCGGCGGGGTGCGCTCCCGTTGCTCGGTCCCAGCGCCTGCCAACCTAGCAGTTCGAAAGCACCCTCGGGTGCAAGTAGATAAATAGGGACCGCTTACTAGCGGGAAGGTAAACGGCGGTTCCGTGTGCAGCTCTGGCTCGCCAGAGCAGCGATGTCACGCTGGCCACGTGACCTGGAAGTGTTTCCGGACAGCGCTGGCCCCCCGGCCTCTTGAGTGAGATGGGCGCACAACCCCAGAGTCTGGCAAGACTGGCCCGTATGGGCAGGGGTACCTTTACCTTTACCTTTATAGCTCTTACTAAACATGCCCATTTGAATGGTGTATTCTGTGTGTGTATGAGAGTGATGGAAAATGTTTTATGGTTTTATTTTTACCAAAAATATTAGACATTTGACAGTTTCAATAGACTCTCGATGCTGCCAGCAACGTACTTACTTATTCCAAAATAAAGACCAGTGACATTTCTCCGAACCACGTATTTGATAAAAAGAAACCTATCCAGATTTCCACTCATTTCAGACAGCAGAGATGTCAAAGGCATAGTTGTCAACTTTTCCCATTTTTTAAGGGAAATCCCCTTATTCCGAATAGGATTCCGCGCAAGAAAAGGGAAAAGTTGACAGCCATGGTCAAAGGGAAAGAAATGTAATCGTCAGCCACTCTCGCTGGGCCTGGCGGTGGGACAAAGAAACCCATCCCCAACCTGCTGCCGCCGCCGAGTCTGAACCAAACGGAACTGCAGCTCCCTCTTCTGCCCATCTCACCCCACCTGGGGAGGGGGGAGCGACCCCACATTATTATTGTTGTTATAAGGAGAGCAGAACTTTGGTTCCCTTTCCCCTCCAGGGTCCAGCGGCGGATGAAGTCAAGAGAGAAACTCTCCCTGCTAAAAACACACAACGCATTGTATTGGGTGCCACTCTCTGGAGTCTGCCCCTTTATTCGACAGGATCCTTTGCCCTAGTTGGACAGAAGCCACGTTGGCTACCCTACAGCTGAAGAGTCCCCGAGAGATGCGTGATACCCATCACACTGCCCATTAGGAAAGTGCGCGCTTGTTTATGGGTGAGATCGCAGAGGGAGTCGATCTCTCGAATCGATTTATTTTTCTCACGGCCCGGGGTGGGGGTGGGGGACGGATAACTTGGGGCCTCTGCTGCCGGGATAAACAAGGAAACCTTTGCGCCGCGGTGGAGAAGGGGAGGCGGGCTGCGAGCGCCGAGCCCCCTTTGTCGAGTCCTACAAGTCCCATGACGCTCGGCGAAGTTCTGCGGTTGCCACAGTAACGGAGACCTGAAAACAACTCCTTCCGCCCATGTAGCCCAAGGAACCAGGTAACGCGGACAGAGGAGCGGCCGGGTGGAAGCTTCTGTCTGCGCGCGGGAGAAGGGAAGAAGCCTAAGCCCTGAGCTGCACAGGGAGTAAGAGTTGCTCTTGGTCCTGGCTCTGGGTAAGAGAGGTCCAAGAAGGTGGAGGAGGAGCACGTGGGGGATCATAAAGGGACTGTAGGAGGCGCGCTCCTTCGGGGGGCAGCAGATCTTCCCTTCTCCTTCCTCTTGAACTTGCCGGAATTGCTTCTGTCGTTTATCCTCCGCGACTCCTCCAGCCCCACCAACCAGGAAAGGGGGAAGCCGCCCGCAGTGAGATTGCAGCCCTAGGCTCACTGATCCCGTGGTGCATGATACTTTCCCCCAACATTTCCTCTTTTATTTAATTTTTGAAACTTTTCAGAAGTTTTTTTTCTTTTCCCACCACTGTTATCCCATGTCGTTTCTCAATACTTCCTCCCAGCGCTTGCTTTGTTCTTGCCTTTCTCTGAATCTCTGAATTCAGCTTCATTTATATAAAAGCTGTGTAGTAGAGGACTCAGCAAGTTAAACATGTTTTTAAACATGTAAGTGAAAGGTAGGTCATACAGTTAGGGGCCTTTGGTTCTTTGTGGGCTTCTGCAGTAGCAAAGGGTGACTTGCTGTTCCCCTTTCTCAGTTTAATTGCCAAGACTAATGCTCAGGCTGCATACATTTGTCTGGAGGCAGTTTGGGCCGACGCAAAATTTTCCCATGCAAGTTTAAATCCTTTGCATTGCAATATATAAAAATGTCAATACTGTTCCTTTTGTTTTAGCCTTTTTAGTTCCTTGAGTGAACTCAGAACTCAAGGAATGTTCATGAGGAATTGCAGTTCGTGGATGACAGTGCTACGAATATAGTCTATAGGGCCAGCACATCACATCTTTGGAAAGTAAATTTTATAATAAAGGTGACCGAAACTGTGAAGATTTATTGGTGCAGAATTAGAGCGAACTACTTCCAAAGAAAAAAGGATGAGGCCCTGAGTAAGCAGTGACAATACAGCATAATTTCAATTTCTGACATAAGCACCATGTTCTTTTTGTGGTTTTCAGTATACTGTAATTGACAATCCTCTTGACTTTGATAGGCTGTAGATCTCTAACAATGGAATGATGGCTTCAGATGACTACATTGTCCATTTTGTAGTTCAAGAAGACAATAAATGTGAACAAGTTACAAAAAGTAGAAGTCCAAGTGATTCTCCTAGTAGGGTCTGCAAGAGCACCCAAAGCAAATGCAGCACTAAAGTTAGCCACTGTAGTAAGTGTTCCAGTCAGTGTGGAACTTTTCAACTTGACTATTCCAATGACTTCAACCAGGATGTTTCAAGAAGGGCTAGCAGCAGTAGCAGCAGTTATTCAGAGCAGGACAGCTGCAGAAATTCTCAGGTCTACTATTATGAAGATTTTCACACATACTCTTCAGAAACCCCTTGCAGCAATGGCAGTGGATACAGCAGTATTTTAGAACAGCCAGAAACCAAAGAGGAGGAATTATCAATGAAAACAAAGGAAAATGATCACCAAGCCAAAGGTAAGGTGGTGGACCACACTGATCACTACTAATATTAGCTTACTGTTGACAGATTATGACAGAACTAATGAAGACCAAGGCTTTGCTGGAGAACTGGCAGTTGTGCTTCTCCATTTTTATTGCTGAAGTGCCCCTGCTTCAAATGCTATATTTTTTGGAAACCACTTGTCTGTAGGAAGAAGCATTAAAAAGAGGGAGAGTAGGGGGCAGAGGAAAGAAAGGCAGGGCAAAACCAGATGGAGAGTTGAAGTCAGCTAGTGCCTGCTTGTATGTTGTGTTTCACTAGATGTTCCCATAGCTTTGTGGGCAGCCCTCCGGGGTCTGTATGACAGCTCTCCATCCCAGCACTAGTATTTGGGTATGGCAGTCTGTGGGCGAAGTACTGAGGCAAAGTTAACCTTCAGCATTACCTTCAAGCTTTGTAGTTTTCATGTGTGCAAAAGAGACAGAAAAGAATTGAAAGCATTATGAATGAAAACAAATGATGGCAGTGGCATAGTAGAATCTATAATCCACCACATTATTTTAGAACTACCTGTTATCTTGAAAAACGTGTGTGTAAAATTAAGAGATATGCCCCAAATATATTTTGCAATACTCCCTCTTCCAGCATCTGCTCCAAAGAATGTTAAATTGAATTACTTGAGGGAAATTGCTATGGTTTCTTCTCCCTTGAAAGCAAAGCTCTGAACTGTTGGAAGGCAATAAATGAGCATAGTCCCGGTAACTTTATTGATTTCACACCTGCTTCTTTCGATCATGCAATGTTTTCAAGCAAAAGAAAGAAGCAATATGTTTTTTATTTGCTATGAAGGCATACTAATGCATCTCTAGCCCTCCTTCCTTCCTTCCCCATCACCCTGCAATGTAATGATAATCATGCCCTTTTCCTTCTACCTTTGTCTAGGCAAACTTCCCCTGTATTCATCCATTCTATTTTCCACCGCAACATGTCACTGTCCTTGCTCATTGTTTCCCTACCACAATCACAGTGTGCTTTGCATGCTATGACCAGAGTTCTCCCCAGACCCAGCATCAACACATGGCATCCTTAGGCACCTTTCAGAACAGGGTGCACCACTGAAACCAGGTCTGTGCCTCCTGTTGACTGCGGGGTGCCCCCCACTTGGGGGTCTGGGACCTGCAATTTGAATTTGCCACAATGCCCCCAACATAGTATGGCTCTGGGGCACCGTGGGAAATTAAAATGGCAATTAGGGGTATGGAAGCCACCATTTTAATTTCCCACAGTGCTCTGGAGTGATGCTACATTGTGGCGATGTATTGTGAAATATTAAAATTCCCCTACCCAGACCCGCCCCCTGGGAATTCAACATTAACGGTGACTGCAACACTCTGATGAATGCCAGGTAATCATGTCAGGAGAACCTAGAAACAAGCTGTCAGGGGTGCCTCAGGTCCCAGCTCACAAAGGACCAACGCCAGTGTCTCTTTATATACAAAAGTCTTTATTGAAGTTCATTGTTGGTTTTACATCCGTGGCGCGCAGCCCTACGTCTGTAACTCTAGACCGTCGAAGCTCCGTCTGACTCTTCCCCTCCCCTACACCAGTTTAACACCCGAGCTTTGCTCCACCTCTTCCTCTGCTCTCTTCTCCTCTGGGTCCTCCTGCCCCCTGGGGTCCCACCCTTCCTGGACTCTTCGGAGGCGGATTCCTCTGACTCCTCCCCCTTTCTCCGGCGGGCTTTGGGACCTGGCTCCCAATCCGGATTTTCTGCTGACCCGCGCGCCTGCACATTTGAACTTGGCGCGCGCGCCCAGCCGGCCACTTTCCTCCTAACGGCTACACTGCTCCTGTCACTGCTTCCCCCTTCGGGGGGGCTGGCTGGAACTGACCTCCGCTCCGCCGCTCCACTCTCCGACGGAGGCGTGGTCAGTTCTGACTCACTCTTTCTCCCTGCTGGAGAAGACGCTGGTTCTGATCTGTGGGCTTCTCCCCCCCCCCCGCTACGCTCTGGCGGGGAAGCTGGCCCTGATCTCCAGCTGCCGCTTGGGGACTCACCGCTGGCCCCCCTTGCCCTGACCCTGGGCGCCTCTTTCTGGGAATCTTCTGATTCGCTGGAGAGACTCATGGAATCTCCCGGGTCACTGTTATACCCTCCTAAGCTCCCCTCAGATCCTTCCTCTTCGCTCTCCAACTCCTCTTTCCCCTGTGGCTCTGCCCCTGAGCCCCTGACACAAGCCATCAAACCTGGAGCCAACACTGACTTTCTGTTCTTGTACATATGGGTATATATAGGAATGTAGGTTGCATAGACCTAAATAAAGTTTCATTTATGGACATGCACATTGCTTTAACTTTTCTGAATCTGTGCTTTACTCTAAAGGAGCTGAATTCCATGCAGTTTACACTATCTACTGTCGAATGAGCATGATGCCCATTAATTAAGAAACGCTGGTTTGAAAATCTGTAGAACCTGTAACTCTTTAAAAGAAGGAGTTACACAAAAACAGTGTTTGAACATCATAGGGAGCTAAAGCATAGAACATGGGTAGACAAACTAAGGCTTCTAAATCTGGCCCGCGGATGGTCCGCGAATCAGTATGTTTTTACATGAGTAGAATGTGTCCTTTTATTTAAAATGCATCTCTGGGTTATTTGTGGGGCACAGGAATTTGTTCATCCCCGCCCCCCCCAAAAATATATAAGGTCTGAGGGACAGTGGACCGGCCCCCTGCTGAAAAAGTTTGCTGACCCCTGGCATAGAATAATATGAACAGAACGTGTTGAAGTGGTCTGCAGGCTAGAAAAAAGAGAAAAATAACAATTTCCGCATAGAAGTAAAATATGTTTAGAATACCAAGTAAAAAAACCCAAAAACCTAAAACTGAATTTTGTATTGGATCTTCACTAAGACAACTAAAAATTGAAAAGAAAAAGTTTAAAAATGAAATTAAAATAGAGGGAATACTTGTATGGATGTATTCCCTCAGAATTCAGAACCCAAATCTCTTTTTATCTGAGTTTAGAGACCCTTACCTCAAACGAGGTTAACTTACTGATTAGTTCCATTAGTTTGTTTTGCTTTTCTTTTGCTTTCCAGGACTTCATATTCCTTAGCAAGGGCTCTAGACAGTAGTGTTTGGCGGGGCAGAGTGGGATGGAGCAGCTTCCCAACGCCAGTTTCACTTCTGGGTACCAAAAGTGGGAGGTGGGAAGGTGGTTCAGTGCAGCAGCGCAGGTGGAGCCAGTCTGATGCTCCCTCGCCTCTCTGCCTCGCCTCTGCCCCTCTCAATAACCAGCAGCGTGGCTGCCGTTGGGAAACCAGGTGAGCAGTGCAGCTCCCCCCCCCCCCCGCCTGCCCCACTGCTACTCACTTTTTGATTTAAGAATGTGGAGAACTGCTCTGTGCATCCATTTGTGTGCTTTTGAAAACATTTCTGTGACCTCTCACGTCGGAGTGTAACTGCCAACTTCGAGGCCTTGTTCAGTTACTGTGTTTTGCAAGCCTGTTTAGCAGTAGCTGCTTAGAGACAGCTGCTGTTCTTTTTAATATAGCATTTCAAGATTGCTATTATTCCAGCAGGTATTTTGGACGAAGTATGCTTCTATAGTTTTAATTGGTTTCCATTTTTTTTAACTTTCTGTATCTTTAAAAAGACCGCTTCAAGTTAAGTTGTAGTTAAGCGGTATATAAATATTTTAAATAAATAAATATTTTTTTAAAAAAATAAATAAATAAAACAAGATGCCATTCAGGAATATATAGAGGCAAACCCTCCAGGACTGCTGCTGCTCCACAGATGCATAATTTGTCTTGGACTAGTATTCCCAGATTTTTTTCTCCTGTTGAACATTGATGTCACCTGTATGAAATGGAGTCAGGTAAAAGCATTCCAGTATTCTGTGGGGAATTTACAGGTATTATGCATTTTAATGCTGCCATTTTGCACATGCTAACAAATGCACAATACCCTTTCTTCAAATACCTGCTTGTAGAACACACTGCCCATTGAAGTTAGGCATGTTTCGTTGGAAGCTAAAAACTTATTTCTTTTTACAGTCTGTCACAGAATGATGACTTACAGGCAATATCAGATGACTTTTTTTTGGAGAACTGTTATATCTGTTTTTATTTTTTATTTTTTAATGGATTGTTGTATTTTAGCTATGGTCTTTTGTAATGTTTAGAAGTTTATAGCCATCCCAGATAAATACTTTTCTTTTAATGTGCATAATATGAATGGGTCCCCGCAAGCCTCAGACTTGTGATCCTTCCTTCCCCACTTCCTGCACAGCTGCACAGTAGAGTTCAGAATCTTTCATGTCTACATTTGTGTCTGGAAACTGTAGTTAACCACAGTTCCTTGTGTTGCTAACATTAACTATGGTTAGTTTAAAACAAGCCAACCATGGTTTCTGCAGCTAGTTTGTTTGAATTAACCATAGTTAATGCTAATTATTATTATTATTATTAATAATAATAATTATTATTATTTATACCCCGCCCATCTGGCTGGGTTTCCCCAGCCACTCTGGGCGGCTTCCAACCAAATATTAAAAACAATACAGCATCAGACATTAAAAACTTCCCTAAACAGGGCCACCTTCAGTTGTCTTTTAAAAGTAAAATAGTTGTTTATTGCCTTGGCATCTGCTGGAGGACGTTCCACAGAGCAGGTGCCACTACCAAGAAGGCCCTCTGCCTGGTTCCCTGTAACGTCACTTCTCGCAGCGAGGGAACCACCAGAAGGCCCTCAACGCTGGACCTCAGTGTCCGGGCTGGAGGATGAAGGTGGAGACACTCCTTCAGGTATACAGGACTGAGGTCGTTTAGGGCTTTAAAGGTCAGCACCAACACTTTGAATTGTGCTCGGAAATGAAGATCTTTCAGAACCGGTGTTATATGGTCTCAGCAGCAGTCACCAGTCTAGCTGCCGCATTCTGGATTAATTGCAGTTTCCGAGTCACCTTCAAAGGTAGCCCCACGTAGCAACATAACAAGTTTTGGTTAACTAAAAGCAGAACTGAGAGCTGCTGAACTCCTCACATTCTATGGGAGGAGGAGGAGGATATGTGAGTCTGAGGCAACATTATGCCTCATTCAAAGTATGCTGATCCATCTTTAGTATGGTGTTTGAACATGGCCACACACATTCACACATGCCTAATCTTTTAGTTATTTAAGGAGACATCAAGTGTGATCACGCATATGGGTTGACACTCTGATTGTATCAGTTATACAATCTTTGGGGGAATTGCAGTGAATTTTATGATGCAATGACTATATAACTCAACATGTTTGAACAATAAAGTCTTTTGCACATTCTATCACTTCCTGAGGATGCATTTAACTTATAGTAAGCAACTTATACAGAAACGACAGAAAACCTCTCTGTGTTCTTGGACTCAAGCCCCATCAGCCACAGTCATCATGGCCAATGGTCAGGGATGATGCAAGTTGTAATCCAGTAATATTTGGAGGATCACAGGTCCCCCATCTCTGTTATATGGATTTGCATTCTCTTACTCTCTCTAGTCTTATACCATTTTAGCTTGTTTTGTTCTTAATGTAGGGGGTAAAACACTTCCTAAGAAGAAACAGCGGCAAAAGAGCTTTTTCAATACTAGCACTATAATCACTTCCCAGAAGAACAATGTAGCTTGCCGCTTATTGTCAGCCAGGCTTCACAAAGTTAAAGAGCTGAAAAATGAAGTGTCTGTTCTGAAGAAAAAACTGGAGGCATCTAACATGGAAAATCAGATTTTGAAGCGGCTTCAATATCGACATTTGAAAGCAATAAGTAAATACGAAAATGCAGAGACTAATCTGCCTGATCTTCTAGCAAAACAGTGTGGTGAAGTGAGGACTCTCAGGGTACTTCTTAGGAAATCTCAAGAGCAGGAGCGCAGTGCGTCCAAGAAACTTAGAGAAGTTGAGGCACAACTACTAAAGACAAAAGATACCTTACTGGCATTGCAGAAACTTTCAGAAGACAAGAATCTCGCAGAAAGAGGAGAACTTAGACGCAGGTTAAACACCCTCACACAAAGAATGGAAACTGGTGATAAGAGAATTCAGGTACTAATGTGCAGTATATTAATGTGCAGTGTAACTAGAATTACAGCAAGAAATATCAGAGTGCTGCTAGATTTCTAATTAACAGTCCTGGCCAAGCTATTGTTCAGATGTGCAGGAGTTCCTGAGTGTGCTGAGGCTTTCCTATTTACCTTAGGGATGGGGACAGCTCTGTACACAGATCACCATAACGCACACAGGACACCTGCTCAGGCAGGAACTCCATGTGCATAACTACACACTTGGAGCTTAGGAACCAGAACAGCTTATTTCAAAGCTATTATTAATGTATTTACTCAAATGCAATGTGCACCATTTTGGCCAAACTACGTTGTGAAAATTAGGGTGTGCATTAGATTTGATGGTGCATTAGATTCGCATAAATACAGTAGTATTAAACCTTAGTACTTTCAGATTTTGTTTCATTTTAAATTGCAGTCTAGAGTTGTAGTGTTTGTTTTTGGTTTAGAGCCTTGTGAATGGGAATCAATAGTTCTTTTACATGGGATTGGTCACTATTACCCCAATTACAGACAAGGAATTGAGATTAACAGGATGGTTCTATACATGTCTTCTGGTATAGGATAGTAGCCTCACAAGGCCTGGGTATAGTTATTTAGAAATAAGGTCCATTGAAATTAATGCTCCATCTGAGTAAATGTGTTTAGACTTGGATTAATAGTGATTTGCCTAAAGCCACTAAGGCAGCCCTGCCCTGCATCTTTGAGATGGGAAAAGAAACAGAGCAGGACCCATCAAGTCATCCCACACCTTAGAGGAGTCCATCATTAAAAAGTACTACTAAAAGCAACTGCACAGCTCCGTATCTGCCAAACTGAAGTTTCAGGTATATGGGTCAGTCCACACTTTATGTATGTTTGGGCCCTCCCTAATTTCTGCTTTGGAGTATGGAAGAAGAAACCCACTAAAGGAGTAGAAATGGCTGAAGAGGCTGGTAAAACTGACTTAGCCTCACCATGTATTTTTCACTGACCCACTGTATTTATGTGGCTGCCAACCTAGCAGTTCGAAAGCACCCCTGGGTGCAAGTAGATAAATAGGGACCGCTTACTAGCGGGAAGGTAAACGGCGTTCCGTGTGCTGCGCTGGCTTGCCAGATGCAGCTTTGTCACGCTGGCCACGTGACCCGGAAGTGTCTCCGGACAGCACTGGCCCCCGACCTCTTGAGTGAGATGGGCGCACAACCCCAGAGTCTGTCAAGACTGGCCTGTACAGGCAGGGGTACCTTTACCTTTTAATGCACCATCAAATCTAATGTGCACCTCAATTTTCAGAACCTCCAAACCAAAAGGGTACTTGCTGGTGCCATCAAATCTAATGTGTGCCCTAATTTTTGCAGCATAATTTGGCCAAAAAGGTGTGCATTACATTCAAGTAAATACTGTACAGTATTTTCACTACTAACTAACTGCTATGGGAATGCAAGATTCTCCTTCTAGATTTCAAAAGAGAGGGAGGGAGAGAATACATGATACACTATTTCTGATTATGGATACAATTTCCTACCACACTTGTTTACCATAAGCATACTTGTTCTCATTATTTAAAAAAATCAAATTATTTTTTAAGAGTAGTATAAACCATTGATATTATTAATAAGAATGGGGATTTTCATCTTTCCAAAGAAGTTTATTAAAATTTGCAATGTCTGTTGTAGTACTTCGGTCCTGTTACATTTAATATTGTATAATTCTCAGTAGGCAGGAGATAAAGTACATGGTCATGCGTTTGTAATATCTTTAGGTCTTAGAAAAGCAGCTGCTGTTGAATAATACCTCCTTTAGTCATCAGTTAGCAGTTGAGAAGAAAAAGACTCTTGAAGCTCAGTTGATTACCACGAATTTGCAAATGGAAATCAAGTCACTTAACCAAAAAATCAAGGTATTTAAGCCTCAAGTTTATTTTACTATAAGAGAATTAGCAATTTATAGAGAGCATTTGCACATCTTACAATGTCTAGTAGAGGCGATAGGAGATGCTACTTTAAAAACATGTATCCTAGTGCAAAAATAAAAGTATTCCTAAGTGTGGCTATTCAACACTGAATGAGATAACAGATTGGTTATCTGGTTTCTTGTGTTTCAAGTATCAGACATTATAAGCTGTGAACGATAAAATATAGTGAGATTTTGTTTGTTTATAATTAGATTCATGGCCGCTTTTGGGTCACATGTCCTCAAAAAGTAGCTTAAAATACTATAATCATTATAAAAGGCAATACAATTAACAAGAAAATCAGTTCACAAATTGAAACTAAGATAGCAGCTAGACAAGATAAAACACTGGCAGGGATTTTAAAATCCTTGTCAAATTGGTGAGTTTTAACCATCTGCCTGAAACTTTCTTTGGAGCAGGTTTGTCAAATCTCCCTTGGGAGGGTGTTCCACTGAATGGATGCGACTACATAAAGCTGCAGTGGTCCATTTGTAAAAAAAAAGCTATCGCACATTTACAGTACAAGTAAATAATGTCAAATGTCAGATATGAAGCAAAGGTAGAGCTAAATACTCCCCAGCTTTGATTTTTGCTTTAGAAGTTACCCTTTTAGTAAAGGCTGAACTTGTAGTTCAACTTGTAGTGCAAAGAATTAGTGCTTTCAATACCACATTGTCAGGTATGTCATGGCTGTGGTGCCATGGAGTCCCTCAGCAAACGCATAACAGGGATAGGGAACCTTTCTGGTCCTCAGGAGTCTCCCCAGGTCACACATGCTCCCCACTCACCAGCTAGCTCTGCTTTGTACCCTTCCTGTGTGTTTTTGCCTGGCTGGAAAGTGTCCTGTGAGTGTGAAGGAAGCCTCCTGCACAAATGTTAAATTCCTATTTGTTGTTCTATCTGCTTTTGCCTCTGATCCCGCCCACCATTGGTATGTGGCCCCCAGAAGGTTGTCCAAAAGAGAATATGGCCTTCGGATGAAAGAGATTCCACCCACCCAATCTAAAAGGACATGCTGGAGAGAATTCTCAGGGGCAATCTCAGCCAAACAAGCTCCATCCTTCTTTCAAGTAACAAGCGATAGAATTGTTGAAATTATGACTAAGCAAAGATGCTTTTTATGGAGAATAAAATAAGATGGTGCTTTATGGAAGATGCATAGTGAATTCAGCTAATTAGGCTTCATAGATAATTGAGGTCCATATAATAAATCGTATTGCATTTTTTTAGCTTACTGCTGTGTTTTTATAGGAAAAAGAACGAGAACTTGGTGTGAGAAATATTTATGCAAATCGGATGCTTAAAGGCCAACAGGACAAAGGTGGTTCAGAGTCTCCCCCCAAAGGTAGCATAATATTTTTCTGCTCATTTTTAATGTGGAATGTCACTTTCATGTGCCTAAACTGTATTAGAAAACTCTGCAGTATTTATTATTATTTTTAATGACTGCAATGTCTCCCTCCCCCTGACCAGCCTAAAAGAGATCCACTGATGCCTCTGGCTCAGCGCTTTGCTGTACTGCTCACTAAAAGAGTGGGTGGTATCACTGGTGAAATTCAAACAGAAAGCCCCAAAGGGTGGTGTTCCGGTGAGTGGAAGGGGCTGAGCTGCCTTGGGATCCACCAGATTCTGAGTCAGCTCCACTGCCAGCACATGATGGTACTGGGCCAATCTAGACCCACTCACTATGCCAGTCCCAGGCTGGTGTAGTGTGATGGAGGTTTTTCTCTCCCCTGCTCCCCACTTTCTATCCTGGCTGGTACGAGCAGTAGTACCTATGTTGCACAGACTGCTGTTGTCCAGCCAGGGTTAGAAATTGCTCTGCCATCAGCAACTTACTGAACTGAGGTTTCAGCAACAAATTCTGAATATCAGCAACAGTTTTGTATTTTAAAAAATCAACATTATTTTACAGTTTTTTCATAACTTTATGGCTTTAATAATGATTGGGCTGGGGGTAATCAGAAGTAAATTAGCTAGATTACTGTGCAAGATTTAAAACTTTGTATCATTGTCATTCCATAAGAAAAGCCAATCCACTCTAATACACATTTAGGTACATAGCTCCCCCTAGTCCTCAGTCTGCAGTTTCTACTGTCCTGATTAAGTGTCTTGGGTAAGCTTGCATTTGATATCACACCAGCAAAATAAGAGTGCCTATAATATCATTTCAAGTTTTGTCCAGTTGCAGGTATTAATAATAGTACATATTTGCAAGATATGTCATTGCATTTTCCTGCGCTCTATAATTTTTGTAGGGCTGATGAAATACCCAAATGCAGCATCAAATGTTTAATTATAACACAACAAGCGAGATCCAACAGCTTGGTTTACAGTTAGAAATAGAGAGATGGTACAGTAAAGCAGGGACGCAGGTGGCGCTGTGGGTTAAACCACAGAGCCTAGGGCTTGTTGATCAGAAAGTCGGTGGTTCGAATCCCCGCGACGGGGTGAGCTCCCGTTGCTTGGTCCCTGCTCCTGCCAACCTAGCAGTTCAAAAGCACATCAAAGTGCAAGTAGATAAATAGGTACCACTCCAGTGGGAAGGTAAATGGCAGTTCCGTGTGCTGCTCTGGTTTGCCAGAAGCAGCTTAGTCATGCTGGCCACATGACCTGGAAGCTGTACGCTGGCTCCCTCGGCCAATAAAGCAAGATGAGTGCCACAACCCCAGAGTTGGCCACGACCGGACCTAATGGTCAGGGGTCCCTTTACCTTTTTCAGAAAAGCAGCCTGCATATTGACTGCAGCCCTCATGGAACTCTCCCCTCACATTGGGTAGGGTTAACATTATAGCCCCTCCTGTTGACCAGTTAAAGCTCTACTGCACAATATGTATCTAGGGGTGTGTATGTGTATATATTTTTATCTATAGCTGTGTGTGTGTGTGTGTGTGTATACACTTGTGCGCACACATACGTTTCTTTATTTATAGTTGCAATCCTATATACATATTTACCTGAGAGTAACACTCATTGAAGATAGTAGACATGTCTATCAGTAAACATGTCTATCATTGTAAAGAAAGACAGCAATCTCCTGCACATTTTGGGGGGAAGTAAGTCCAGTTATGGTGCCCACTTATGCATTGCTCCACCAAACACAAAAGAGAAAAAAGGTGCACATTTGTATGTGCGAATTTATATTCATAGGTGCAAATTTAAAAACCATAATAATAATAATTTATTATTTATACCCCACCCATCTGGCTGGGTTTCCCCAGCCACTCTGGGCTGCTTCCTACAAAATATTAAAATACAGTAGTCGGTCAAACATTAAAAGCTTCCCTAAACAGGGCTGCCTTCAGATGCCTTCTAAAAACTATTATATGTAAACAATTATTGTATGTAAACTATTATAGTTTACATTTTTCAGAAGGCAAACCAAATGATTTCCCATTCAAGTCACTTCGAATAAACTCTTACGCTAATGGGCATCCCCACTCCTGATCACCCACACCATTTCTTCAATTAATTCAACTCATCAATTGACACATAATTAGCCTTTGTTAGTTCAACTAAATAAAAAATAAATTGGTGTGATTCCCTGTGAGATAAAATGGCAAGTGGGTGGTCTTTTCATTCTTCCTTTTTGTACTTAATTAAGCCAAAGGCCGCTGTTCCACCATATGAACTTAAATCCCAACCGTGGAAGAACAATGTCATTTCTGTTCCCTTTCAATGGACACCAGAAAAAGAAATGGCTACCTCTATGTAGCAGAAGCTATTTCCCAGCCAGGGAAATGGCATTTGAGGTTTCAGTTTGTGGGGCAGCAGCAAGGTGGCAGCTCAGCTCAGCTGCTGGCCTGCTTTTTGCTTAATTAAGTAAAGAAGGAAAAGGGGGGCCAGATAGCGAAGACCACCCACTGGCAAATTCGTCTCATCTTGTATGTCCAGTACTGGACTAAGGCAGAGGACCTTGAAGTACCAACCTCTCTGAGGACATCTGAGATGAACAGTGGCGTAGCGTGGGTTGTCAGCACCCGGGGCAAGGCAAGTAATTTGCACCTCCTAACCCGTGGATTTGCGCCCCCTAACCCTAACCCCCAGATGTTGCGCCCGGTGCGGCTGGCCCCCCCTGCACCCCCCACGCTACGCCACTGGAGATGAAACTAGCTTTGCTTGTGTGTGCAGCTCAAAGGTAGGTTTCTCAGTAAGCCACGAAACAAAAGTAACACCTTACTCTAGCTTTTTCAAACAACTTGGACTGCTTAACGTATGCCACACCAAATGAGTCCTTAAAAAGTGGGAAGGAGGGACTCCAGCTTTATGGAAGAGGAACTACTTTGCATGCAGAATCTCCAACATATCCAAGTAGTACTGAGAATGCATTGTCTAAAATCCTGAAGAGCCACTGCCAGTTGGTGGAGACAGTCCAAGCAATTCCAATTCCTGAAGCATCATTGCAATGACCCAAACATCCAGTTGGGTGGTTGGCTAGATTGGTACGCTAGTGGCAGCATTTAGCATTGTAGCTTCCAGGCAGTCATATCTATAACATGTTATAGTACCTGATCCTGGATGTTTTCAGAACACAGATTACCATGGCCAGGCTCTCACTACACAGTCGGCACATCAACCTCAACTGATGAAAGGTGCTTCATTCCATAGAGGCTGTGTAGGCATCCACTAACTCGACTTTTAAGGGAAAGGTAATCCATCAAGAAAAGGCTGAATGCCGTCTCCCTGAATTGATGAAGCATCTGCCCATAGAACTTTTGTCTCAGGATTGAATTTCAGTTTATTGTCCCATATTTAGCCCACCACCAATTCCAGACATATAAGCATTTCATATTTTCAAGAGTGCAGAGGGGATACGTCTCAATATTTACTTCCTCTTGTCTTTTCATAGCTGTCAATGTCTCCAAGTCGGTACAAGTAGATGTGAATCTAGAAGCAACAGCTCTTCAAAAGCACGAGGCAGAGAAAACTTCAGTTGTTTTTTTAAAAGAGGTATGGCAGATCTGAATTAATCCTTTTACAACTCTAAACCACTCTTGTTCATGCTGTGTTGTCTTATAGCTTCATTTCTTCCTGCAAATTGCAGATTCCTTAACATACATTCAGTTTCCTGAATCATATTACAGTGACATTCTGAAAATAACATTGTCCTCATTGAAATAAGTTTACTTCATCATTGAGGTGACTCCAGCTTGCATGAAACACTGAACCAAATGCTGGCTAGTGCAAACAAGCAAATATGCTGGTTCCTAAAGTAAGGACCATGGTGGCAGCTGCACTCTTCCTAAGCCCTGTGTGGCTGTCATGACCTGTGGCTAAGCCATGGTTTGTCTTTGTCTTATGATGGAACCTTGGTTCATGGTTTGTCTTGCTCCAAATAAGCCATGAGCTATAGGCTTCATATTGGCTTGCCACTCATAGTTTTTCAGGGCTAATGCATTACTTGAGTTAGTGTTATGTGCAAAGCATGTGAACCGCCCTGAGACTTGTAGGTATAGGGTGGTATATAAATTTATTAAATAATAAAATAATAATAATAGGAAGAGGGACTTACTTTTCAGTAAACACGCTGAGGATTGTTGTGTTAGCTTGGGTAAACAAGTCCAACTGTTATAAATAAGGGCTAGATAAGACATAAGATATTTACAAGGAACCTAATGTTGTATGATTTGCTCTTGGCACAGCTGTATGAACGCCCAGTGAAAAATCTGTGCAAGTGCCTCCACCATATATTAGAGTATGACTGCACCATCCTCTGCTTTGAAGAGGATATTGAGATAGTAATTACATTTTAGCAACAGGATAGTGGTGAACTTAAATTGTCTTGCACAGTTTCTCTTCACCACTCCTATGCTTGATAAGGACATGAAAGAGAAACTGTGGACTTCTCATTGCATATATTTTTGTCCAGTTCCTGGATAAGAGCAGGAAATGACAGACATGTTTGCACTGCACACTTTTCATGGGTTGCACCACTATGTTGGGAGATTGAGGACAGGGGGAAAGTACTTCTTCATATGGTGCATAGCAGTGATAGACAACAGCTAAGATGACTTTAGGGACGTGGGTGGCGCTGTAGGGACGTGGGTGGCGCTGTGGGTAAAAAGCCTCAGCGCCTAGGGCTTGCTGATTGAAAGGTCGGCGGTTCGAATCCCCGCGGCGGGGTGCGCTCCCGTTGCTCAGTCCCAGCGCCTGCCAACCTAGCAGTTCGAAAGTACCCCCGGGTGCAAGTAGATAAATAGGGACCGCTTACTAGTGGGAAGGTAAACGGCGTTTCCGTGTGCGGCTCTGGCTCGCCAGAGCAGCGATGTCATGCTGGCCACGTGACCCGGAAGTGTCTCCGGACGGCGCTGGCCCCCGGTCTCTTGAGTGAGATGGGCGCACAACCCTAGAGTCTGACAAGACTGGCCCGTACGGGCAGGGGTACCTTTACCTTAAGATGACTTTAAAAGGGTTTTAGGCAGATTCATGGAGGACAAGGCCATCAATGGCCTATACTTGATGGCTCCGTTTCCTCCAGTATCGAAGGCCTATATCCCTGGGTACCAGTCGCTGAGGATCTTGAGCTATTGTGCTATTGTGCTCATGTTCTACTTGTGAGCCATTGCCATCTGTGTAAGCAGAATGCTGACATAAACCTTTGGTCTGATCCAGGTGGCATCTTAAGTTCATACAACAGGACTTGTGAGGAAACAAAAAACCCTCCTTGCACTTTGTTTCTGTGATTTATGGTCAGAAAATCACAGGGGACAAGTCCTTGTTTTATTTAATAGACATTTTTCTACTCTGACTGAGCCTCTTGGGCTTGCTGATTGGAAGGTTGGCGATTCGAATCCCCGTGACAGGGTAAGCTCCCATTGCTGTCCCAGCTCCTGCCAACCTAGCAGTTTGAAAGCATGCCAATGAGTAAATAGGTACCGCTGTAGCAGGAAGGAAAACGATGTTTCCATGCGTTCTGGCACTCATCACGGTCCTCCATGCCCCAGTAGCGGTTTACTTATGCTGGCCACATGACCCAGAAAGCTGTCTGTGGACAAACGCCGGCTCCCTCGGCCTGAAAGCGAGATGAGCGCTGCAACCCCATAGTCGCCTTTGACTGGACTTAACCATCTAGGGGTCCTTTACCTTTACCTTCCTGTGTTGTGGACTTTAGTGTGTTGGGACTCATGTGATCCCATTCATTTTAGACAATCTCCAAAGTATGAGGCTGAAGCCAGCATACTCTTAAGCCTATGTTAATTTGAGGGGAGTTCAGATAGATTCTGTCTACTTTATGGAGGCAAATTAGGTCACGGATTGAGAACTGAAATCTATCCATCACTTGCTGCTATTCAAACACATTCGAAAGCTACAATGTGCAAATCAAACTGACATATATGTGTTTTTCTTTCTATTATTTCTTTAGGAGATGACAACCAAAGATATTAACTGCAAAGACAAACTATGTGATGTGGATAAAGAGATGGAATCAAAAACAGAAGTTCATCAAAATCAAAAATTAACAATGCAACAGATTTTGAATATAGCATGCACAGGTATCTTAACAGTATTTCGAATCTGATGTGTCTACAGATTTAGCAAATCTTTCAGCAGCAGTAGAGAGTCTTTTTTCAGCCCAAAGGGCAGATTATCTTAGTGTAATACTTTTGAGCCAGGCTGGATGGGGCCAGACCCAAAAGGAACAGTACCAGACAGGCAGTCACTCATTTAACATATAAACACAATCACACACACTGCCCCTTCTGCCCTCTGCTCAACCTACCTCTTCTCAGCTGTCACATGGAATTCAGCTAAGCAGTGGGTGGGGAGTTCCCAGAAGCTGATTTGCTAAGGGTGCTGATTCTGTGTTTAAGGTCATTTGTAGCTACTAAATCTATAGATGTGCCTGCAGTGTTTTAATTTCTGTCTGAATATAAAAATTATGATATAAAAATGTTATTGACTGACTTCTAAGAATTTTTACTTTTGAAATAATATTCTTTTGTAATTAGGGGAAGAGATATGTCCAAATACAGAAAAACTTTTCAGATGTGAAAACCTAGAAAGACAGAAAAACAGGAGGGAAAGACAAAGGCTCAACTTGTTGAAAGAAGAGTTTGAGAAATTAAGGACAGACCAAGCATTGGAGTCCACAAATGACATCCAACAAAAAATGAATAACCAGGAAGAAGTTGCAACTGAAAAACAAGAAAATGAGCCAAAACAAGTGAGCTGTGATAAAATGGAAACAGTAACACAAAGATACAAAACACCTTCCACATTAAAGAAACAGTATGTATTTTCAGAAGCTGTTGAAAATTTGCATCAGGGATACCCTTCAACAGGTCCACTGTCCAACACAAGCACCACCTGCAGTAGTAGACAAGTGAATAGACACCAGGGTGAAATAGCTGAGTTGAAGGCAGAAAATTCAAGCAGTGCCTATGAACCGTCATTTGGTAAGGTTACCAAAACAAGGCAAAAGGACACCACGTTGACGCTTGGCAAAGAACACATTCCTGCAGTATCAACAGAAAAGAAAACCACTCTTATGGAAGAACTCTTTGGTCCAAGCTGCATCTTAAAGGACAGTCACTCAAAACTTAATTTAAAAGAGGCAGTTAAGGAAAAAAAAACTTTGATGAGTGAAAAGTCTTATGAGATTTCACAAGTCAATGATGGTTTGCAGTGTGGCGATTCCAAACAAGCCCATATAAAGGTTTTCCATACATTTGCCTTTCTGGAAAACTTTAAATAATTACTGCCATAATTTAACAATATTTTCATATTAAAACACACACAGTATATGAAAATAATTCATTAACTGCTGCAGACTGGGTCCCCCCCCCTGGAGAAAGTTTCATTTACCATAAGAGGTAAACATTTTATATTCCATTGCAGGAAAACATGCATGCAAGTTATCAGTTTATATTGTAACAATGAAATAATCATATTGCAGTGCATTTTAAAAAATTAAAATGAAGCACAATGACAGGTCTATTAATAGAGCTCTAAATAAGAATACATTGAAAAGAATTGCATTGAATAGGCATTGGTGGTAAAGCTTATTGGGGAAAAAGACAGTTAATGTGTATTACAATAGAAAAATGAGGCACTGCATAACTTTTTTCTTATTCCATTCCACAAAGCCTCTTAAATGAATGCAGTGATTCAAATTATCTACATAGTCCCAGTTAGGAAAGTGAATGCTTACATGAAGGGGCCTTCAAATAGGGCGCTTTTGACCCATCCATGTTGATTTGTGTAATCTGATATAGATAATGAGTGCAAGTTATGGGGCTGTTGCCAGAAAGAAGAATGACAGTAAGGCCTATTTTATTAACTCTCAAATTTGGCCATCTTCAGACTACACAGACTAATTCAACTGTCTATACAAATTTCTCAGTGCAGGAAGATATGTTGGTTACAGTAATTTCTATGGTTATAATTGGATATCCATATTGTTTTTTACTATTGTAACTGAACCCCAAATATGGAAAACAGGTAGCATTCAAAACAGCCATTAAAAGCTCTTCTTCTAATCAAACATTATTGGTAATTTAAATATTAAATATTGTGCTACCCACAACTTTGTTCTCTTTTATTTTCCTTCTTAGAACACAAAATATTGAACATAATTAGTACAAAGAGGTGTCAATATATGCAACAGGATCCAGTATGATTAAACACACAACTGCAACAATGTATCATTTCATCTGTTCCTAACAAATAGGAGATTGATCTTACTGCCATGATGTACCTAGAGCACTTAGGATCAGGGAAGCTGCACACCAGCACTTCAGTGGTACAGTAGTAGATAAATAGGGACTGCTTACCAGCGGGAAGGTAAACGGCGTTTCCGTGTGCGGCTCTGGCTCGCCAGAGCAGCGATGTCACGCTGGCCACGTGACCCGGAAGTGTCTCCGGACAGCGCTGGCCCCCGGCCTCTTGAGTGAGATGGGCGCACAACCCTAGAGTCTGTCAAGACTGGCCCATACGGGCAGGGGTACCTTTACCTTTTATTCTGTTAAAGCAGCAGACATGGGCTCAATACAAGTGGGAGAGGAACATGTGCTGCAGACAGAGCCAGCAGATCACCTGGGCAGTAGAGGGAGCCATAGCATTGTGTTAAGAACTATATTATTCCCTACATGGGAATCTAAAAAGCTTTCAGTCATCAAATGGGTACAGATTTAGCACAAACCTATCCAGCAAGTTTATTTGTGTCAATGGTTGTTTGGAAATTTTATCTAACATGCAAGTTCTCACATCTCCTCCTTCTATTTCTTACACACAAGTGGCTAGAATAAAATATGCATCATGCTGAATTCTCTAAGCAAAAACACAGCATGTGGCCAAGAGGGGGAGAAAGAGCCACTGTTGCATAAGGCAAAGACCCTTCCAGTAATATTTTGATACTAATCAAAATCTTCTTTAAAAAGAATCAGAGGAGGAAGGAATTGATATCAGGCAGATACAGTCAAAAACAGAATATGGGCTAGATTAGCTGGAAAGTTCCTGGCCATAAAAAAATGTTGGACCTGTGTGCTTCCCCTCTCCTCATACCATGCCTTTAGGGGACCTGTGATTTCATAATAACTTACTAACCAGAATCTGAAACCATAAACTGATCCTCATTTTAGATCTTAGCCTGATGTAATGGGGAACTGTAGTTCCCATGATTGAAGTGCTGAAGATTCAATCCTGTAGTTCCCAGGATTGAATTGCTAAGTTGGTAGAATGTGGACTTGACATTTGTTCCTAATTTAGTGAACTATGGTATATTATGTCTGTACTGTGGTAGTGAACAGTCAATCATAACATATTTGACAACACTGAAATTACAATAGAGAAACAAATGTGGACAAAGTTAAAGGAACCACATTATTTTTAAAAACTATTTTCCTTTCACTTTTAAAATGTCTACATGGCTTTAAAACCATTACATGCACATAGGCTGCAATCCTAACCTCACCTAGAATTAAGACCCACTGAATTCAATGGGACTTACTCTGAGTAGCCAGAATTGATCAACTACAATTTAAATAGAACTTATGCCCAGCACTGCAGGTTACAAACTGAAAAGGAACTTTACACAATACAATACAATATATAAAAATTTTAACAGAATGTTGTATTAAGATTTATCGATGCTTTATTACTCAATCCCAAACCCTGCCTGCTTTTCATAGGCATGTACATTCCAGATGGTACAATGTATGGATGCTGTATTTCACAAGAAACTGAGAAGTCTGCTGAAACTAGGAATCCTTCTCAGCTGAAAGGGTGAAGCATAATGGCCACAACTTTGTTACAAACCACCAACCAACAAGTAATGCCAACACCACCTAAAAATAAGAAATACATGCTGTAAGACACTAGCATTCTCAGTAACTAAAACATACATATTTAAACATGTAGGGACCAGAAATCAGATTCAGTAACAACACCAGTAGTTGCAGAAAACACTTGCATAAGGATATATCTATGAGATAACTATTGATTCAGAAGAATTATATAAAGCCCAGTACCACTAGTATGTGTAATCTGGAATCTCTATGCAAATGAAAGATGTGGTTAGGTGTGTGACTATGGGCATAATCCACTAAGTTCTTCCTTCTCCAATGTAAATTATGGAGTTACACAACAAACAGTGCTCTCACTGCATCTCTTATTCATTTTAACATGGTGAGCCAAGCATTATTAGCTTCTGCAACTATTCAGGAATCTGGGAAGGCAGAGGTGTGGCAATGCATTCAAAATCAACTCTTGTATAATATTAAGATAGGAGAGATATATGAAATTCCTGGAAAAGCTTGAGAAGCATTAAAATAATATAGGCTTACCTGCCACTCCTGTTGGAAAAGCTACTAAACGTTCTAGTGGAGCTAGCCATTTGCTTGGAAGCACAGTAACTGGTTCAGAGTAATACTTCCAGATTAGTGAGATCATTAAGGCAGCCTGGAATTAAAACAATCGTTACATGATTATGCATGAAAACCTAAAAATAAAAGAGTTCTTGTTTACATCTAGCTGCGCAATCAGCATTTCTAATGCCTAGCAAGTGCTAGATGCCCATGTTATCCTTAAAAATAACCCACTGTTCAAAAAATCAATACAACTACAGTCGGTACCTTGGTTCTGGAACACCTTGTGACTCGAACATTTTGGCTTCCTAACACCGCAAACCTAGAAGTGAGTGTTCTGGTTTGTGAACGTTTTTTGGAAGCTGAATGTCTGAAGTGGCTTCCGCAGCTTCTGACTGAGTGCAGGCAGCTCCTGCAGCCAATCGGAAGCTGTGCCTTGGTTTTCAAACATTTTTGGAAGTTGAATGGACTTCTGGAACAGATTTCGTTCGAGAACCAAGGTACGACTGTACTGTGACCTCAAAGTCAGTGCCACACAAAGTGAGAACCCTGGCCCTCGCCCCATATGAGGAACACAGCCTCTTCTTGATTAGTCATCAGTTCTTGGCTTGCACTGTAACAGCTGGGAAGTGCATTTTCTATGCTGGACTGCTCAGAGCACATGGCACTGGACACGGCTTCACGTGATTGGTTGCCAGATGAAAAGGCAGAGCAAAGGAAAGCCTATGGTCTAATATTCACTCGGATGGTAAATCTGTGCTTGAACTGTACATCTCTGGCGTATATGAGCGTATCACATAACTGAATGCACCTTCATATAAAACAATACATACCAGAGAGTGTGTGTGTGCATGCGTATCACATAACTGAATGCTTCTTCATGCGAAACAATACCTGATTTGATATGTGCAGGGAATTTGTTTCCGAATATAAACATTGGATATTATGGCACATGGCTAAGGAATCTTAATCAATTTTTAGTATTTATTAAATTTGTATACCACCTGTCATCCGAAGATCACAAGGCAGTCCACAACAGAAAAGTACAAAATGCAAATACAAAATCAAACAAAAACAGACCAATAACCCCCCTCCCATAAACACATTTTAAAAGTCATGCAAAGTTAATCAGCTGAACCCTTGGTTGAAGAGAAACGTTTTTGACTGGCGCCTAAAGATATGTAATAAAGTCACCTAGGGAAACCATTCCACAAAGGGAGAGCCACTGCAAAAAAGACCCATTCACATGTTTAGCTTTGAAAGGCTTCCATATATAAACCAATTTTACTTACCTGCAAAATGTAGAATACAATATTTATTACCCACTTTATTTTGGCTAGTTGAGCTGTTCGTGTTTTCACTGTTAAAAGAAACAAGTATGATTTGCATTATTTACATTAATAGGAGACATGATTTTACTTTAAACTGATAAAAATAACTTTTGTTTCCACTTTAAGGATGCTTGCTTCTTTAAAATTCAAATTCTAGAGGCTATGGATATATAATTAGAAATGAAAAATAAAAACTAGTCTCCGACACCTGTTTCCTTGCTTTTTTTCAAAAACATTTTCTAGTTCACAAAACACGGATATAGAAATATTAATAACATAACACTATCATTGCCTTGAAACTGGCATATCAGCAGATCCCTAAGCTTGCTGTATTTACGGTAATATGTTGTAGTTGTTTAGTTGTGTCCGACTCTTCGTGACCCCATGGACAGGGCACGCCAGACCCTCCTGTCTTCCACTGCCTCCCGCAGTTTGGTCAAACTCATGCTGGTAGCTTTGAGAACACTGTCCAACCATCTCGCCCTCTGTCTTCCCCTTCTTGTGCCTTCAATCTTCCCCAACATCAGGGTCTTTTCCAGGGAGTCTTCTCTTCTCATGAGGTGGCCAAAGTATTGGAGCCTCAGCTTCAGGATCTGTCCTTCCAGTGAGCACTCAGGGCTGATTTCCTTCAGAATGGATCGGTTTGATCTTCTTGCAGTCCATGGGACTCTCAAATTGTCTCCTCCAGCACCATAATTCAAAAGCATCAATTCTTTGGCGATCAGCCTTCTTTATGATCCAGCTTTCACTTCCATACATCACTACTGGGAAAACAATAGCTTTAACTATACGGACCTTTGTCGGCAAGGTGATGTCTCTGCTTTTTAAGATGCTGTCTAGGTTTGTCATCACTTTTCTCCCAAGAAGCAGGCGCCTTTTAATTTTGTGACTGCCGTCACCATCTGCAGTGATTATGGAGCCCAATAAAGTACTGTATTTTTCGCTCTATAGGACGCACTTTTTCCCCTCCAAAAATTAAAGGGAAATGTGTGTGCGTCCTATAGAGCGAATGCAGGCTGCGCGGCTAAGCCCAAGGCCAGAACAGGGAGATGGAGCGCTGTGGAGTGCTCCGTCTTGCTGTTCTAGCTTGGGGTTAGCTGCGCAAAGCCTCTGCAGGGCAGTGGGGTGCCTTCACCTTGCCGCCCTGCAGAGGCTAGAAAGGCTGTCCCCGAAGCCTTTGGAGCGCAGTGGGAACTTGCGCTGAGCTCCAAAGGCTTCAGGGATCTTTGAGGCTGGTGGTGGGGGAAAGCAGTGCTTCCCCCCACGCCAGCCCCAAAGAGCAGGTCAAAAGGAACCTGAAGCCTCCGGAGCCCAGAGGGAACTCCCGCCGCGCTCCAGAGGCTTCGGGTTCCCTTCACTGAAGCCTGGAGACTGAGAGGGGTCAGTGCGCACTGACCCCTCTCGCTCTCCAGGCTTCCAAGGTAGCCACCTGAAGCCTCCGGAGCGCAGCGGGAATTCCCGCTGTGCTCCGAAGGCTTTGGGTGAATGCACCTTGAACACACCTTGTTTTAGAGGGGAAGAACAAGATTTTTTTTTTTCTGTTCTCCCCCTCCTATGGTCCGGTGCGTCCTATAGAGCGAAAAATATGGTAAAATATCTCACCGCCTCCATTTATTCCCCTTCTATTTAGCAGGAGATGATAGAACCAGTGGCTATGATCTCAGGGGGTTTTTTTTATGTTGAGCTTCAGACCATATTTTGCGCTCTCCTCTTTCACCCTCATTAAGAGGTTCTTTAATTCCTTCTCAATTTCTGCCATCAAAGTTGTGTCATCTGCATATCTGAGGTTGTTGATATTTCTTCCAGCAATCTTAATTCTGGTTTGGGATTCATCCAGTCCAGCCTTTCGCATGATGAATTCTGCATATAAGTTAAATAAGCAGGGAGACAATATACAGCCTTGTCGTACTCCTTTCCCAATTTTGAACCAATCAGTTGTTCCATATCCAGTTCTAACTGTAGCTTCTTGTCCCACATAACGATTTCTCAGGAGACAGATGAGGTGATCGGGCACTCCCATTTATTTAAGAACTTGCCATAGTTTGCTGTGGTCGACAGTTTGTGATGACCAGCTTTTTATCTTGACAGAATTCTGTTAGCCTTTGCTAGCCTTTGCCCTGCTTCATTTTGAACTCCAAGGCCAAACTTGCCAGTTGTTCCTTTTATCTGGCTCCCTACTTTAGCATTCCAATCCCCTATAATGAGAAGAACATCCTTATTTGGTGTCATTTCTAGAAGCTGTTGTAAGTCTTCATAGAAATGGTCAATTTCAGTTTCTTCAGCACCGGTAACTGGTGCATAAATTTGGGATTACTGTGATGTTAAAAGGTCTGCCTTGGATTCGTATCGAGATCATTCTATCATTTTTCAGACTGCATCCCAATACAGCTTTTGATACTCTTTTGTTGACTATGAGGGCCACTCCATTTCTTCTATGGGAGTCTTGCCCACAGTGGTAGATATGATCATATGAACTGAATTCGCCCATTCCCGTCCATTTTAGTTCACTGATGCCCAGGATGTCAATATTTATCCTTGCCATCTCATTTTTGACCACTAGCTTACCTTTGTACATGGATCTTACATTCCAGGTTCCCATGCAATATTTTTCTTTACAGCATTGGACTTTCCGTTCACTTCCAGGCACATCCACAACTGAGCGACCTTTTGGCTTTGGCCCAGCCGCTTCATCAGCTCTGAATCTACTTGTACTTGTCCTCCACTCTTCCTCAGTAGCATGTTGGACACCTTCCGACCTGAGGGGCTCATTTTATATGCCTGTTGTTTTTGTCCATGAAGTTTTCTTGGCAGGGATACTGGAGTGGCTTACCGGTTCCTGCTCCAAGTGGATCACGTTTAGTCAAAACTCTCCAATGACCTGTCCGTCTTGGGTGGCCCTGCACAGCACGGCTCATAGCTTCTCTGAGTTATTCAAGCCCCTTTGCCATGACAAGGCAGTGATCCATGAAGGAGGTATTTAATATAGTCATGTTTTATATTATGCATGTTTTTAAAAAAACATTTTTTAAAAAATACTGAGAACAGTACAAACAATCTAAAAATATTAAACAGAAGTGAAAGGTAGGCTAATGATGCAAATATAAATAGCAAGTATTTACCATGAGTCTTAAGTTTATCAGTCATTTTGTTAATCTTCCTTTCTAGTCGGGCATATCTAGCAAATTCATCCATCATACTAATGGTAGAAAGTTCTTGCTTCATGTTCTGAATTTCAGATCTCATTTGTGATTCCTGCTCAGCATCCTTTTGTAGCAATCTGGATATCTGACAAAGAGAAAGATGTCCAAACACCTGTTGATTCATCACTTTCCTCTTTTTTAAAAAAGAAAATGAATTTATTTGTTCTAAAACATAGTTATTGCTTACTTCACTCTAAGCAGTCTTTTAGTCCCTCTCCTAAACAGCTTGATCCAAGTACACTTTGAAGCGTGGCCCAAGTTATTTAAGTTCAATGTTTTGAAAGCAGAGGCATCCTAGGCTGCCTTGTACCCTTGACTAGGAGTTACATCGGCACCCCATTCCCCCCCACCCTGCCCTCATGGAACAGAAACTCAAAAAGGTTTTCTTTCATGCTCCGCCAGTGAACATTTCTAATAGTGTGCGGGCAGATGGACTCCTAGCCACTGTAAGGCAGAAAGGAGAGGTGTGATTTTTGTGCCCTTCCTGCAGGGTTTGTGCCCTTGATGGGGGCCAACCTAACCAACTACTAGGTATGTCCCTATTTGTAAGTTTATCGGAATTTTAAATGAAAAGCAATGAATAATTTCCTAGAAAGACCTTTGTTAGCAGTCTACCTCCTTCCCAACTCTTCAATATATCATGCTTGGAGCAGAGTGTCCAGACGCACAAAAGCTAAAGGCTGTGTTCTCAAACTCTGAACCTAAAGATGAATAAAGCTACCTTAAAAAATAATAATACACCCCTACCAAGGGATGGGTGCATCTATTTCTGGTCTGCCACTTTTGATTGTTTCTCTTCCATAATTCTGTTCCATTTTTTACATTGATCCTCTTTTAAATCCTCTTTAAAATAAGTGTTTTAATACTATGTTAAATTATGGGTATTTTCTCTCAAAGCATGCATACATTTAAACTGCTGAGAATTGTGTTGCAATTTGGCAGGGGCAGTGTGTCCTGTTTCACTGCTTGAGGCCAAATGGGAAGTACTGCCCTGCTGCTACCATACCTGCTGCTGCCAGATATTGCATGCTGTGCTGCTGCGAGGCGCCAATTTCAGGCAGGATTGCACCAATTCTGGGTGAGATTCACCCCAAATAGATGGAATCTTGCCCAAAATTGGTGGTGCTTCTCCACCAATGGCGGAAAAAGCAGGGCACGGGGGGGGGGGGGGAGTTCGGTTGCTTGAGGCAGTGGCTTCACCCTGCCTAATGGCTGTGCTGGCTCTACAATTTGGAGAAAAGCAAAATTCACCAAATAGCTAGGAAGGTGGCAAGATATTTCCATTTGAAAGACATGCCTGCTGCATACTTTTTCCGCTGACTCCAAATCTGAACCTCACAGCCAAAGAATGTTCTGTTGTTATTATATTTATATTTATCCCACCTTTTCCCCAGACTAGGAATCAAACAAGGCAGCTTGAAATACAGCTTCTATCCACAAGGCCGTTTTATTCCATACACTCTCTGCCCTGAAAGCCTCCACGTGCAATCAATGTAAATGGCTCCGACAATATGATCATCTGACCTCTTATTTTTTAAATAAAACAACAGAACAGCCACATCCATCACCTGGATAGCCTGCCTGCTAATCCAGAGTGACCTCGCTGCTTCCGTACTTGCGAGAACGAAAATGACTTAGGGTGGCATTGACGTTTCCTCAAAATAACCTATAGAAATTAATTGGCCTAACTTAAGACATGTTCATTAATTTCAATGGGTCTACTCAGAGTAAAGCTCAGTGTGCACTAGGCCCACAGGGAGACTCCCGAGGAAAGATGGGCGATAGGGATCGGGCCGTCCCTAGCGATCTCGGCGGCTGGGCTGGGAGACGCTCCGCTCGACCCGCCCCGGCCGCCCCTTCGGCCCTCCCCTGAACTCGGGCCCCAGCTGGAAGGCGGCTGCCCTCCCCACCCAGGCAGAGCGAGGGAGGCGGATCGGGGCGCCGTCGCTATGGGAACCCAGCGGGCTGACGTCACTTACAATGGAGGAGCAAGAGGGCAGGAGGATTTTGAGGAGGTTACACAAGAACACGGAGCTCAACACGAGGAACCAGGCGCCGTCACCCGTCACGTCTCCCGTCTCCACTAGAACCTCCTCGTCCATGTCTCAGGCCGGACTGGACGTGGGGGGCGGGCAGAGGGAGGGGAAGGGATTAGAGACACGCGAGGAAGACGGAGAAAAGCGGCTGCCAGTCTCCCGCCTCCGCCAGAGAAGAATAATGGGGTGGGGGAGGGGGAGAAGGAACACTACAGAAAAGGCTCGGGCTCGCGGCCGCTTCTCAAACTGCGCAAGCGCACATCCTCCCTCTTCACCACCACCACCCCCGCCCCGTGGTTTGTGCCTCGCTGGATTTTTTTTTTTTTCGTAATAACAACCGCGGTCGCTGAGCTCACGCGCTCCTGTTATGTGTGCGCACGCGCGCACATGTCACAGTTACTGTCACCCTCTTGCCGAGACAGCCTATCAAACCCGCCCAGGTGGAGGGGAGCAGCCCGCCTCCGCCTGAACGCATTGAAGTCGACGGGCCTCTCCTCATGGGTGGGACGGACTGTTGTGATTTAAAAAGAGGGCGCGCGAAGTGGGCTCGTCCAATAGGGACGCGCGCGCCTCGGAGCGGGGAGGAGGGCGGCGCCGAGGAGAGCGTGCGTGCGTGCGCGTGCGTCCCCCCTCCCTTCCCATCCGGCTGGATCCTGTTGCGGTGCCGCTGGCGCTGCTGGGATGGTCGCGGGAGGAGAAGGGGGGTCAGACGGGCGGGCGGGCACACTCTTGGTCTGTGCGCAGGAGTGAGAGTCGGACTTCCCAGTGGGGCTGGAGTAAGAAGTGCCAGCCGCCGCCGCCACCGCTCCCGCCGCCCGACGATAGGGAACAAATAAAAGCACAAGGGAAAGCCGAGCGCCGTCGTTCGGCATCGCCGCTTACTCCGCCATGCCGAAGAGAAAGGTTGGCGACGAGCGCGCGCACACTTTAATGTGCGCCGAGAGCGCGTACTCCCTTCTCCCTCCCCGAGCTCCTTTACCCTTCTCCTTCCCCTTGTAAATGTAATATATTTATATATAAAAATATAGGCGAGCGGGCTGTCCTTTCATACTGGTGGGGGGGGGTTCTTTTTTCTGCGACGAGTTCGTCGTGAGGGCCCAGTTTTCGCGCTCCTATTCTAGAGGGGGGAGGGGGCGTGACGGTTGTAAATGGCCGCGAGGTTCGCCGAACTGCGGCCTGTAACGTCTCGCGTGCCCGTTCGGCTCGGGCAGCCGAGGAACGAGAGTCGCGCAGGTTCTGGAACGCCTAGAACTTTTACGCGGACGTTTGTTAAGGATACGGCCTCAGGTTCGAATTCTCGACACAGCGGCGGGAAGGGGGGGGGCGTGTGCGCGGTGACGTCAGGGCCCCTGGACGGTGTAGAGCAGGCGTTAATGCGCATGCGATGTTTCGCTCTACCGCCCCCGTTCCTTTCTCATTATTTTATGTTCCATTGCAGGTGAACGCCGCTGAAGAAGAGGTAAGTAGGAAACATTTGTATGGTATTTTAAAGGATCCGGGAGGATTGTTAGTATTAAGCAGACCATTAATACTGTTTTCTTTTGCTTTGGTTTGCTGTAGCCAAAAAGGCGATCTGCACGCCTGTCGGCTGTAAGTATTGAATTGCATTGACTTCTTATTTACCCGTTATGTTTATTGTGAATATTAGAATCAAAACATAATAATTGTGTGGTGTTTCTCTTTCAGAAACCTGTCACTGCCAAAATTGAAACCAAACCAAAAAAGCCAGCTTCAAAGGTGAGAGGTTTTGGGGAGGGATACAAACAAGGTGTCTGAAATTCTTTTGGGAAGCTGGCTGAAGATATTATTTCATTGTAAAATGGAGCAATGTTACTACATCTCGGCAGCAGAAGCAGGAAACTACTTTGGGACACAAGTCACGATTGAAGTGTGGTCACCCTATGGGCCACATTCCGCTAATGGTGAGGTCAAGGGTGGAAGCTGGCATGGCAAAATTCATGCCCATCTGTCCCCCTGATATAATTCAAGGTTCGGTACTGGAAAGAGAAAAGCTGGGGCTCCCGATTGTCCATATGCAGCTGCGGCTTGAATTTGACGTGTTTTCCTGCCATGCTACTTTTGGGGGTTTGAATCTATTCAGGAATGATTAGGAGCTCCTGAACTTGCCTGATGTCTGCCAAAAGTAGCATAGCAGGAAAAGGTGCCAAATTTAAGCTGTACTAAATTCAAGTCACAGCTGCAAAGGGATTTTCATTTGTTGTATTTGTACACCGTTTTTCCACAAACTGAATCATGCTCAAAGTGTCTTACAACAAAGAAATGGATGCATTTAAAGCAAGCAGTACAAAAACAATTTCTTAATAACAAAGCAAAACAAAAACATAGTAACGTAAATTTATGTGATAGCTACCTAGTGTAGGATAGTGGTGAAGAGTTTTCTGATGAATTGTGCCTTGGTCATGAACTCACTAGCTGGGCTTGGCCAAACCACTACAGTATATTCTCATTCTTTCCCTCACCGTGGTAGCATGGGGATAATATTGTACAGGATTGTTATAAACATTGCTAGCATATTGTATGTTCAAAATGTTTCATATACCAAAGTACTCACTTTTCACTGTAGGCTCTGAGGCTACTTCTCTTGGTGGTTTCCCATTTTTTCCTCCCACCATTCCTCTCTAACCAGTCCATGCATCACCTGAAGCAACCATTTTGCTTCAGCTTCACTGAAAAGGGCAAGAACATCAGATTAATTCTATTTGTGTCTAAACTAACTGTGTTATGAACTCATTTGCTGGTTTATTTGAACAAATAAATAATAAATCTACAGTTTAAGAAAATAAAATATTTTTTTTTTTGGGGGGGGGAGAATCCTTATCCAAAATATCTAATATCAGTTTACACAGGAAAATGTAGGGTGGTATCCAATGCTGGGCGAGACCTATTTTAGTATTCCATATAGACCAGTGGTGGCCAAACTTGGCCCTCCAGCTGTTTTTGGACTAAAACTCCCATCATCCCTAGCCAACAGGACCAGTGGTCGGGGATGGTGAGAATTGTAGTCCCAAAACAGCTGGAGGGCCAAGTTTTGCCACCACTGATACAGACTGATTGTAGTACAAACCTTGGAATAACTAAGAACAGCCAGATATGCTCTCACCATGCTAACACCTTAATTTTCCAATGAATGATGCTTTGCACCATGCATAGAAATATATGCAGTGAGTCTTGGTAATGTGCTAAGACAACATTGCACTAAAAGAGCACTCTTTGGGGCTAGATGCATATATGTGAGCCAGCATAGCATTCCTAGCACACTAGATCTTTCCAAACATGTTTTAATCTGATTAAGACCAGTGCTTTTTCTGGGACTACTCAAGGGTACACAGTAGTGGCACCTTTTTTGTCCTGGAAGAAACGCACTGATTAAGACCACAAATCTTCACATTCTGATGAATGCGTTATTTTAAAAGACTAAATGCTGATTGTCTTATTTCATTGCAGGATAAGCCTGAGGAAAAGAAAGCCCCAGCAAAAGGGAAAAAGGGACCAAAAGGTAAACAGGCTGAAGAGATTAACAATGAGGAAGTAAAGGATAACTTGCCTGCGGAAAATGGAGAAGCAAAAAGTGATGAGGTAAATTTTATGGCTTTGTTGTGTATTCTATAGTTTTCTGGTTTAAATTCAAAATGGCTGTTCTGACTTAACTGGCAGAGAGAACGTCCCAGCATTGCCTTGTATGGATGTTGCATGAGGGCACATAAACAAATTTAATATCCCTTTCCACTATCCCAGAGAAAATATTTATATTGGTAAAGGAGGCTAATGAGGCTAATGAGGTAGGAAGAAGTGGAGGAGGAGTTGGCATTGCCATTGGGTTTCATGCCTCTGTATACCTATTTCTGGAAATTGCAAGTGGGGAAAGTGCTGTTGCACTCTGGTTCCGCTTGCGGGCTTCTCATAGGCATTTGGATTGCTACCATGAGAATAGGCTGCTGGTCTAGATGAGTCTAGCCTGATTCAGCAGGGATTTTCTTACTCTGGGTTGCTATGCATTTTAGTAAATTCTTTCATCCTCCACTAGCATCTTTCAGTAGTCACACTAGTGGATCTGGCATTTTTTTACTACTAATATTCCCAGTCCAGGCTCCTGCCATCCTGGATGATCGGGCCAAGTAGATCAATCAGTTCACCAAAATGGCAAATGATATAATGAGTTTCTACTCTACATTGAATTTGTATATCATTTCAAAAGTAAGCATATACTTAACAAGATGTTTTATTTCTAAACTAGTCAGAAACATCATTGTTATGAAACACACAACTATTTCAAGTCCTTGAATTTAAAGTTACTCTGTGCCAATTGAAATGAAGCCTAAGGACAAGCATTAACCTAACTTTTTAAGTATAAGTTTGAGTATTTGGAAAGTTCATCATGCATTACAAAGTTCTGCACAGAATTTGTATCGTCCAGTAATTTTAGGAGTAAAATGTATTCTTTGTTAACCACAAAATAATCTTTTAGCAGGATATGAGGGCAGAATGAGTATCTTTGATGTGACTATATCATAAGAAAGCTTGATGGATTTTTATTGAAATTAGTATGGAAAGCAGTACTGAACATTCCTGAAAATCCACAGAAACAGAATAAGATAACTCAAACTACGGCTGTAAACTGAAATACCATAATGGAATATGAGGTTCATCAATGTGGGGCTATGTGTTCAATATTTGACTGTAGATTGACCATTAAAAGCAATGTTTTTCTACTTGTGGATTGTATATATTAATCCTTTGTGGCCAGTCACTCTCAGACTGGTTGATAAAAATGTTTTGGCTCTGTAATAGCATACAAAAAGTATGTTGATCCTAACTTTCATGTTTAGAATACCAAATAGCTTTTAAAACAATGTTTTAATAGTCCTTGGGTTTGAACTTTGAAACATGTATGTATAACCATTGTTACGTTAAACTTTTTTCTTTTCTCAGGCCCCAGTATCTGATGCAGCAGGAGAAAAAGAAGCAAAATCTGAGTAACATCTTGTACAAAGTCTCTTAATCAGTGGTTTGTTTGCCACCATCTTGTACAATTCAGAGGAATATTTTTATCAACTATTTTGTAAATGCAAGTTTTTTAGTGGTTTTAGAAAAGACATTTTTTAAGCATGAGGGGATCCCTCCCTCAATATCCCATTTAACGTAGTTTTGAGTGTAAATGCTTTGTTTTTAAAAGGTAAAAATCATGTACTGGTTGTCTCTATATAACCAGCAATTAATGGAATGTTAGATTAAGGAGAAATTTCAAAATATTGATTACTTACAGTGCTATCCTATACATGCTTACTTAGAACTAAATCCCACTGGTTTCAGTGGTACTTATTCTTTAATAAGTGTGCATAGGATTGCAGCCTTAACATTCCAGAGGCCAGGGTGGGCAACTTGCAATTTACATGTGGCCCTTTAAAACTATTTTTATGCAGGACTTCAGTTACTTTAAATTTAGCTTTGTTTCCTTAAATTTTTAGCCTTTACAAATAAATTTGAATATATGATGGAAAGATATGCCCAGCATATGCCAGTATCGTCCCCAGAGGCAAACAAGTTGCTCACACCTGCTGTATACTGTGGGATGGTTTTTGTAATTGTTAAAAGAAGCATAGCACAGATAAAACGTTGACATGGTGACAAGTAGGAAAATGTCTTTACACTTAACACGTATCCCCCTCGATTTGTCATCAGTAGAATGCTTCCTCAGAAAACCCAACTTGTTCCCTGGTGTTGGATCTCCCAAATTTGTTTTATCTGTGACAAGAGTTATTTTTGGTAGTGGTAGTTTATTTTTTCAACAGCTTTGTAACGTGTTGTGAACGGTTGGAAATCTGGGTGTGTAGTGTGTGTGGTGTTCAATTACTGAGTAGATAAAATTTCTGGTTAAGCAGACATGACTTTCACATGACAGTATTTGAGACACTGGTACTTTTCTACTTTGAATTAATGGTCTATCAAAGAAGTCATAATTGTCAGATGACAGGTTTACATTCAAATTATTGGAAGAAGAATCAGTACAAATAGTTAATGTCTGTGGTTCATCAAACAAGATCCAATAAAATATTGGTCATAAACATTTTGTGAGTGTTTCTCTTCGGCTTGAGTGAAAATTAACTGGGATGTAGATTTTTAAAAACAAGCAAACGTGCAGTTGTATTCCTATAACATAAGCTTTCACTTTAGTGAATGAAATTTCAGTAGTCTATGGTTTTATAGCCATCCCCAGTATCTGTTGTATGGCAGCTTAGGTATTATACGCAATGTTTCTAGCCTTTTTTTGCATGGAAGGAGAGTTGGAAAGATAAAGTAATGAAGAAACTCCATTGATCAAGCACACAAAAGTAAAGGTGGTCCTTAACCTTTTCTTATCTTTGTTTGACTCGAGCACAGCATTGCTGAAAATTTGTTAGCAGCAGGCTCTTCTAAGAAGTGAAATTCACGTGACAACAAACTTGAAAACTTTCTCAATGGTAGAAACTTGCCTATATTCTCCTTTATTTATATCTCCTCTCTTTATAGTCCAAATAAGACTTGGAACAACTACCAAGATCAATAATAAGACAGTCTATACCCTTAGGTTTACAATCTAAATCAACACAAATGAAAAAGGGGGGGGGGAGCAAACATCACAATTTCAACAATTTCTAAAAGTCCTATTCAGTAAATCAAAGGGACTTATTCCCAGATAAGTGGTATTAGGATTGCAACCTAAGGCACTAGTTCTTATATCAACAGCAAAAATGAAAATGGGTCCTTCCCCTGAGCTGATGGGTTTTCTTGGTTTCCTAATCTCTTCTGTCTGATGAAATGGCTGCTGCCTGACAGGTGACATTTAATGGAGTGGTAAGCCTGATGGAGGGACGTGGGTGGCGCTGTAGGTAAAACCTCAGCGCCTACGACTTGCTGATCGCATGGTCGGCGGTTCGAATCCCCGCGGTGGGGTGCGCTCCCGTCGTTCGGTCCCAGCGCCTGCCAACCTAGCAGTTCGAAAGCACCCCCGGGTGCAAGTAGATAAATAGGGACCGCTTACCAGCGGGAAGGTAAACGGCGTTCCGTGTGCTGCGCTGGCTCGCCAGATGCAGCTTGTCACGCTGGCCACGTGACCCGGAAGTGTCTGCGGACAGCGCTGGCTCCCGGCCTATAGAGTGAGATGAGCGCACAACCCTAGAGTCTGGCAAGACTGGCCCGTACGGGCAGGGGTACCTTAACCTTAAGCCTGATGGAGCTAGATTCTCAGAGCTTTAGTAAGCACTGTACAGTTTTGCCATTATGTGAAGTTCTCAGAATCCAAACAATAGCACAAACTTTGGAACACTTAATACTCTACTGAAAACTCCTTTTTCAGTAAGGCAGGATCAGTGGCAAAGAAAGCATAACTGCTATTGAAATAATATGTGAAGGAGAATGTTTGCCCTGTAAAACTTGTAGGTAAGGAGAACAGATGAATACAGGCTTGTTTTTAATATCCTGACATAGAAGCACTGTGAGTCTTCTGTCCACCACAGAGATAGTTTTTTGCCAGTTGGATAGGGGGAGGGGGTTTGTAAAGAGATCCAGCACATCTTAACAAGCATAGATAGTGACACATTGTCTGAAGAACAAGCCTTTAAAGCCAAGACTTGCAAAAATATTTCTATTTTAAATGTGGGTTTGGCAAGGTATCTAGTATAGAGCAGCCTCACACCCTGATAATTCATGAGAAGTTGGTGCAAGCAGTTAAATATTTCCACAGAAACTTATTGAGGCACAGGAAGAACAACACATCCAACTTGAGTGACACCAACTTCCATCAAGACCTATTGCAAGAGTTCACTTTTGCAATCTGAGCCATCTGGAGGCTTCTACTACAATAGGTTATTAGAATATGAGTAGTCAGGGTCTGTGTCCCTCTGGAAGCTTTAGCAGCACATGCAGAAAGGGGCTTCAAGCAGCTTGGCTAGAAGCCAAGTCTTACAGAATCTTGTCTTCTAGTATCACATTTGAAACCATCAAGTCTTGGAAAAAATGGGGAACACCATGGGAAAGCCTATGTGAACATGGAACAAAGTCAACCAGTCCAAGGAGACAGAAGATCCATCAGGTGAAATACACTTTTGCTCTAGATGGAGCACTTGGGAGTGGGGTTGATTGTCAAAGAATGGAGGTGACAATAGCCTCCACTGGTGTGGTTCCCCTTCCTGCAAGGCTTTCCTGAAGGTTCCAGGTGCTCTCCTCCCTCCCCCCCCCAACCATTCTTTGCTTTCCTGTCAATTTATAGTCTGCCTTGAGTACTTTGCATAGTTCAAAAGGAAGGCAGAAGTGACCCTGATTATGGCCAATAAAAGTCAAAGACTATTTCCTCAGCATACTGTGAAACTACTGAAGTCAGTACCAGAGGCTTTCTTCCTCTGGACCTCTTCTATACTCAATCTGCTTGTCACTTTGAAATTCTTAAACCTTTATTGACATATACACAAGATTCTAATAGGGTTCGGTACAATAAAATCATTCCTCAAAACCTGCATCTTACACTTAAGTTAATGTACAACATTCACAAATCCTCATTGTGTGTTGAAGAAACCTGGCTACTATCTCCATCTTATCCCCATCCTGATTAAATGAAAGGAAGGCTACCGTACATTTGTCTGAATGCCACTCCCTAGGGCTTAGAATAACCAACTGGTAAACCTAGGGTAGATCAAATAGATACCAAGGGCAGTGCAAAAGAACGTGTGACTGATTCGATTTGTCTTATGTCCACAGGGGCATAGTCTCAGAGTGTTTTCAGGAATTTAGTAGTGTGGGATTTGTGAGGACCTCAGCAGCTACAGGGGCGTTGCGGTTAAGGAGATGACTGGTGATGTTCTTTCCAGCACAATGCAATAGCTTGTTTATCTTTTAGAACCATACTATACGTCACAAAATGTCAAAATAACCAACAACAATGCTAGAAACATAACATACAGCTTAACTTGGCAGTAGCTACAAACTACACATAAGCTTACTGAAATTAGAGTCCTCATACAAGACCAAGTCTTGATTGTGTATTCTAGAGCTGCAGTACTGAATAATGTTTCTCCACACAGGCTACAACTTCTCTGTCAATGGACGGTTATTAATTTAGGCCTGCCTTGCGAAATAAATTTTCATAAGTTACTAGCCCACAAAAGTTGTTATTATTTAATTTCTGAATCTCCTTATTGAAGCAATTTCACAAGAAAGAATAAGGCAATATGAACATCCACAATAAAAGATATACAATTTCGTTTATCAAAATGTTTTCAAATTCAATATAGATACCAACTGGGATGAAAATCACTTAGGTGACTTGTTGAAAGATGGAGGTTTTCAACAGGCACTGAAAAGTATATGCCTGGTATGTAATGGGTATTCCAAGGGGTAGGTGCCACTATGCTAAATGCCCAGTTCCTACAAAACCAACCTCATGAGGCCCTCTAGTGTGGTTGGGTATATAAGATATATGATCTTTTAGGTATCCTGGTGCCAAGCTGTGTAGGGCTTTTGTACACCAATGCAAAACTAGAATATTAACATGTCCCACCCATGCAACCTTTTTACACATTCATTTGCAACAAAACAGGAAGTATTATCGAGTTTTCCATTTTGCCTGAACCAGGAAACCATGGTAAGCAGCTTCAGAACAAGCCAGGATATGAACCCAACTTCAAATCATAGATTTAATGATAATAATTAAGTGTGCTGTTTCTATTTTCTGATTAGTTTAAATCAAATTAGTAAGTTAAAATACCTCCCCAAAGCATCTCTGGATGGCAAGGAAATCTTTCGAATGACTTGCCAGCTGCACTGCGTGTGGAACCTTTGTAAACTACCTCAGTTAATTATCTTAATTGGTCCAGCACCACAAGTTGTATTTAGGTTAATTACCATTCTCATCTTCACACCTTAATCACTGATAATAATAGATTTTTTAGCCTGGATTCTTTTATATACATATTGTGATAAATTGTTGGTTTGGAACAAGCTGTGGAATGGCCTCTCATTGTTTATATTTTGGTATCAGGTATAC